CCCTAGTTGTTCCAGGTTGTCGATAGGAAACACGAGGGAGTAGAACTATGCCGTTCCTGCTTGATGGGGTTCTGGTAGTTCTTCTACTCCCCAGAAGCCTGGCTGACTTGTGAAGGTCAGGCTTGACTTGTGAAGGCCTGCTTGACTTGTGAAGGTCAGGCTTGACTTGTGAAGGTCAGGCTTGACTTGTGAAGGCCTGGCTTGACTTGTGAAGGCTGGCTTGACTTGTGAAGGTCAGGCTTGACTTGTGAAGGCCTGGCTGACTTTGTGAAGGTCAGGCTTGACTTGTGAAGGCTGGCTTGACTGTGAAGGCCTGGCTTGACTTGTGAAGGCCTGGCTGACTTGTGAAGGCCTGGCTGACTTGTGAAGGTCAGGCTGGACTTGTGAAGGTCAGGCTTGACTTGTGAAGGCCTGGCTTGATTGTGAAGGCCTGGCTTGACTTGTGAAGGCCTGGCGTGACTTGTGAAGGCCTGGCTTGACTTGTGAAGGCCTGGCTTGACTTATGAAGGCCTGGCTTGACTTGTGAAGGCTGGCTGACTTGTGAAGGCCTGGCTTGACTTGTGAAGGTCAGGCTTGACTTGTGAAGGCCTGGCTTGACTTGTGAAGGCCTGGCTTGACTTGTGAAGGCCTGGCTTGACTTGTGAAGGTCAGGCTTGACTTGTGAAGGTCAGGCTTGACTTGTGAAGGCCTGGCTTGACTTGTGAAGGCCTGGCTGACTTGTGAAGGTCAGGCTTGACTTGTGAAGGCTGGCTTGACTTGTGAAGGCCGGCTTGACTTGTGAAGGCCTGGCTTGACTTGTGAAGGCCTGGCTTGACTTGTGAAGGCCAGGGCTTGACTTGTGAAGGTCAGGCTTGACTTGTGAAGGTCAGGCTTGACTTGTGAAGGCCTGGCTTGACTTGTGAAGGCCTGGCTTGACTTGTGAAGGTCAGGCTTGACTTGTGAAGGCCTGGCTTGACTTGTGAAGGCCTGGCTTGACTTGTGAAGGCCTGGCTTGACTTGTGAAGGTCAGGCTTGACTTGTGAAGGCCTGGCTTGACTTGTGAAGGTCAGGCTTGACTTGTGAAGGCCTGGCTTGACTTGTGAAGGTCAGGCTTGACTTGTGAAGGTCAGGCTTGACTTGTGAAGGCCTGGCTTGACTTGTGAAGGCCTGGCTTGACTTGTGAAGGTCAGGCTTGACTTGTGAAGGTCAGGCTTGACTTGTGAATGCCTGGCTTGACTTGTGAAGGCCTGGCTTGACTTGTGAAGGCCTGGCTTGACTTGTGAAGGTCAGGCTGACTTGTGAAGGCCTGGCTTGACTTGTGAAGGCCTGGCTTGGACTTGTGAAGGCCTGGCTTGACTTGTGAAGGCCTGGCTTGACTTGTGAAGGTCAGGCTTGACTTGTGAAGGTCAGGCTTGACTTGTGAAGGCCTGGCTTGACTTGTGAAGGTCAGGCTTGACTTGTGAAGGTCAGGCTTGACTTGTGAAGGCCTGGCTTGACTTGTGAAGGCCTGGCTTGACTTGTGAAGGTCAGGCTTGACTTGTGAAGGCCTGGCTTGACTTGTGAAGGCCTGGCTTGACTGTGAAGGCCCGGCTTTACTTGTGAAGGCCCGGTTTGACTTGTGAAGGCCTGGCGTGACTTGTGAAGGCCTGGCTTGACTTGTGAAGGCCTGGCTTGACTTGTGAAGGTCAGGCCTTGACTTGTGAAGGCCTGGCTTGACTTGTGAAGGCCCGGCTTTACTTGTGAAGGCCCGGCTTGACTTGTGAAGGCTTGGCTTGACTTGTGAAGGCTTGGCTTGACTTGTGAAGGCCAGGCTTGACTTGTGAAGGCTTGGCTTGACTTGTGAAGGTCAGGCTGACTTGTGAAGGCCTGGCTTGACTTGTGAAGGCCCGGCTTTACTTGTGAAGGCCGGCTTTACTTGTGAAGGGCCGGCTTGACTTGTGAAGGCTTGGCTTGACTTGTGAAGGCCTGGCTTGACTGTGAAGGCCCGGCTTGACTTGTGAAGGCCTGGCTTGACTTGTGAAGGTCAGGCTTGACTGTGAAGGCCTGGCTTGACTTGTGAAGGCCTGGCTTGACTTGTGAAGGCCCGGCTTTACTTGTGAAGGCCGGCTTTACTTGTGAAGGCCCGGCTTGACTTGTGAAGGCCTGGCTTGACTTGTGAAGGTCAGGCTTGACTTGTGAAGGCCTGGCTTGACTTGTGAAGGCCTGGCTTGACTTGTGAAGGCCCGGCTTGACTTGTGAAGGCCTGGCTTGACTTGTGAAGGCCCGGCTTGACTTGTGAAGGCCTGGCTTGACTTGTGAAGGCCTGGCTTGACTTGTGAAGGCCTGGCTTGACTTGTGAAGGCCTGGCTTGACTTGTGAAGGCCTGGCTTGACTTGTGAAGGCTTGGCTTGACTTGTGAGCAATCAGTCGTGAAAGTTTCCCCCACAACCTGCGGCAGGACTTTTATTATCAGAGTTCTGTTATCTTCAGGAAAGTGGAATTATCTTCGTCTCACCTCGACTAAAGCGGCCGAATCTGACTGTTGCATGGAGCCACGTTCCTTCCGTCTTTGTGGACGAGTTCGGTATTGTTTAAGGAACTACTTGGAGATGTTGAGGAGGAACCACTGCCTGACCTGCTCCTCACCTACTCCTGAGACATAGGTGGTGTTAAAACTGTTAATACCAATATTGTATTAGTACTATGTACGAGTGAAAACCTTGTCTACTGTAAGCATTCATTAACACTGTAATCTGAGGTAAATAATCACTTCGGTCATCAGCGGGGTCATCATTTGGGTCATCATTGGAGGTCATCACTGACCATCATCATCTCTGAGTATCTGGTAGAGGAAAGAGCAGGAGGGACTCACCTCTTGAGTATCTGGTAGAAGAAGAGGGAGGAGGAAGAGATTCACCTCTGAGTACCTGGTAGAGGAAGGGGGAGGAGGAAGAGACTCACCTCTGAGTACCTGGTAGAGGAAGGGGGAGGAGGAAGGGGGAGGAGGAAGGGGGAGGAGGAAGGGACTCACCTCTGAGTACCTGGTAGAGGAAGGGGGAGGGGGAAGGGACTCACCTCTGAGTACCTGGTAGAGGAAGGGGGAGGAGGAAGGGACTCACCTCTGAGTACCTGGTAGAGGAAGAGGGAGGAGAAAGAGACTCACCTCTGAGTATCTGGTAGAGGAAGAGGGAGGGGGAAGAGACTCACCTCTGAGTATCTGGTAGAGGAAGACCTTGACGTGGTCGGCTGAGAGGTGTTGAGGGGAGACGATGATCTTGTGAAGGTCGCTCTGCATCAACTCTGTGATCACGTATCTGTGGTCGCCACCAGTCAAGGATCACCACCCCATATATCACGGGCACAGCAAGCAATACTAGACACCACTGCTGCACCACATCTTACTTTACTTTATAAAGGAGCGATAGGTAACGCTAGAACAAAAAACTAGTGCAAGGTAATGAAAGGGTTTGCAATGTGAGGCATCAAAACATGTAATATACTGAAAGACAAAATCGTTGGCAATATACTGAAAGATTTATGTTTTAAAGGTAATGAAAGAGTCCAGGTACTGAAGACTGCTGGGACCCAGCCAGTGTCCTGGGTCTCCTAGCAGCCCGGGGTACAGGTACTGAAGACTGCTGGGACCCAGCCAGTGTCCTGGGTCTCCTAGCAGCCCGGGGTACAGGTACTGAAGACTGCTGGGACCCAGCCCGTGTCCTGGGTCTCCTAGCAGCCGGGGTACAGGTACTGAAGACTGCTGGGACCCAGCCAGTGTCCTGGGTCTCCTAGCAGCCCGGGGTACAGGTACTGAAGACTGCTGGGACCCAGCCAGTGTCCTGGGTCTCCTAGCAGCCCGGGGTACAGGTACTGAAGACTGCTGGGACCCCAGCCAGTGTCCTGGGTCTCCTAGCAGCCCGGGGTACAGGTACTGAAGACTGCTGGGACCCCAGCCAGTGTGCTGGGTCTCCTAGCAGCCTGGGGTACAGGTACTGAAGACTGCTGGGACCCAGCCAGTGTGCTGGGTCTCCTAGCAGCCTGGGGTACAGGTACTAAGACCCAGCCAGTGTGCTGGGGTCTCCTAGCACCCTGGGATAACGAGGCTCATATGATAAAAGGATACATCTCCTGGAAGAAGTCGAGGTGTGGAGGCTGGAGAATGTCGAGGGCTGACAGCACCTGTAAGCAACACACACAAACCATTATACCAACATTACCTCATTAAGAATGATTCATATATTACACATCATCAACATCAATTAGAAATATTCCTGTTGGTAGTTCGAATGTTAATAACTCTGTAACAACATATAATACTGCTACATTTACATCTACCTCTACTGCTACATTTAGTTGTTCTACTTCTACCACTACTGCTACTAGGCCGGGGGCGCCGCGGGAGGCGGAGTGCTCTACCAGTAACACACCAGGGGTATGGTTCACCTGGGACACACCAGGGGTATGGTTCACCTGGGACACACCAGGGGTATGGTTCACCTGGGACACACCAGGGGTATGGTTCACCTGGGACACACCAGGGTGCTCTACCAGTAACACACCAGGGGTATGGTTCACCTGGGACACACCAGGGGTATGGTTCACCTGGGACACACCAGGGTGCTCTACCATTCCCCCTACACTATATATACAGGTAGTCTCCAATCTTCTGTATATTACCTGGAGAGGGTGTCGGGAGTCCTTCTACTTCCCGAGCCCTCCTATGCAAAATCAAGATCAAAAACTACATCTAGTATCGGGCCTTGTCAAAGAGAGTTGGAACCTTCACTGATGACAACTAAGAAACGAGCGAGTTACTGAGAAATCGGTACGACTCTGTTTTCAGCGAGTCATTAAACACACTAAAGATTGATTGATTTAGGTTAAATAAAATTTTCATTGATGTGATGTCAACATAAAATTTTATATCAGACGTCGCCCTATCCCCACTGGATTTTGAAGAAGCCATAGACAGTATGCCTATGCGCTCTGCGCCAGGTCCTGATTCCTGGAACTTCCTATTCATTAAGAACTGTAAAATAAAAAAAACACTATCGCAGGCCCTTCACATTCTTTGGAGACAGAGCCTAGATAATGGCGATATCCCTGACATCCTAAAACAGCAGAGATAGCACCACTGACGTATGAGTCACAGCCTGGTTGATCAGGTATCCTTTGGAAGTGCTTATCAAGTTCTCTCTTGAACACTGTGAGGGGTCTGCCAGTTATGCCCCTTATGTGTAGTGGAAGCGTGTTGAACAGTCTCGGGCCTCTGATGTTGACAGAGTTCTTTCTCAGAGTACCTGTTGCACCTCTGCTCTTCAACGGGGGTATTCTGCACATCCTGCCATGCCTCCTGGTCTCATGTGATGTTATTTCTGTGTGCAGGTTTGGGACCAGCCCCTCTAATATTTTCCACGTGTAAATTACTTTATTGTGTTCTTGACAGGTAAGGTCTTCCCACATGAGTACACCCAAATCCTTTACATTGCCTTTTTGTTCTATGTTATAATTTGACTGTGTTTTGTACGTGGTTTCCGTTTATATAATTTCATTTTTTCAGTAGCGCATGAGCTGGAACTTATCTTCGCTAAGCACCATATTATTTTCTGTAGTCCATTGAAAGATCTGATTTACATCTGATTGGAGGTTTGCCGTGTCCTCTATGTTATCTACTCTCATAAATATCCTAGTGTCATCTGCATCCGGGACCGCGGGACGCTAAACCCCGGAAGCACCTGAAGGTAACCTCAAGGTATGGGGTGATCACAAAATGAGGTCAATGGGAATAACTGGTAAAGTAGGACGCTGGATACTCAATTTTCTGTCGAACAGAACACAAAGAGTAACAGTCAATCAAATAAAATCGAGTTCAAGCGCAGTTAAAAGCTCTGTACCTCAAGGTACAGTCCTTGCACCGCTACTGTTCCTTATTCTCATATCAGATATAGACAAAAATACAAGTCACAGCTTCGTGTCGTCCTTTGCAGATGACACAAAAATCAGCATGAAAATTACCTCTGCTGAAGACGTTGAAAAATTACAAGCAGATATCAACAAAGTTTTCGACTGGGCAGCAGAAAATAACATGATGTTTAACAGTGATAAATTCCAGGTACTCAGGTACGGCAAAAATGAGGATCTGAAACATAATACAGGGTACAAAACACAATCGAATCTGCCCATAGTAGGAAAACAGCATGTCAAGGATTTGGGAATAATGATGTTCGACGATCTAACGTTTAGGGAGCATAACCAAGCAAATATTGCGTCAGCCAGAAAAACGATAGGATGGATTACGAGAACTTTCAAATCCAGGGATCCCATCACAATGGTTGTACTCTTCAAGTCACTTGTGTTGTCCCGTCTTGAGTACTGCTCAGTACTCACTTCCCCCTTCAGAGCAGGAGAGATTGCTGAAATAGAAGGAATACAGAGAACATATACGGCACGCATAGACGAGATAAAGCACCTAAATTATTGGGATCGTCTCAAAGCTCTCCAAATGTACTCACTAGAAAGGAGACGAGAGAGATACCAAATAATATACACATGGAAAATACTGGAGGGCCAGGTCCCAAATCTACACAGTAAAATAACAACGTACTGGAGTGAACGATATGGAAGAAAATGCAGAATAGAACCAGTGAAGAGCAAAGGTGCCATAGGCACAATCAGAGAACACTGTATAAACATCAGAGGTCCGCGGTTGTTCAACGTCCTCCCAGCGACTATAAGAAATATTGCCGGAACAACCGTGGACATCTTCAAGAGAAAACTGGACTGTTTTCTAAGAGAAGTTCCGAAACAGCCGGGCTGTGGTTGGTATGTGGGCCTGCGGGCTGCTCCAAGCAACAGCCTGGTGGACCAAACTCTCACAAGTCAAGCCTGGCCTCGGGCCGGGCTTGGGGAGTAGAAGAACTCCCAGAACCCCATCAAGCAGGTATCAAAGTGTGTGGACAAAGACAGGGACACACACTCGAACACTATATCTTGGATTGTAGTAAAATTGAGCCATTTAGAGATAAATCTAAGCTCACGCTGTATGATATGGCAACCTATCTTATTAATAAGGATAAAATACCTGAAATCCTTGCAATGTATCCGTATTTCGATTCCTGTAGATAAACGACATATGAGATTAAGAAACAAGTAGTGTATTGTGAAGACTAATAATAATCAGAAGCTCCCCTATGACTCTGTAATATCTCCATTGGTCAAACTATGATGTATTAGCGATAAGACCTTCCATTAATGTATAATGACCTACTGTAAATATATAGCTCTTGAAATAGCACTTTCTCTGTAACTAGCTGACATTGTAACTATAAGGTGTGAAGGATAAATGAAATTGTTTATGTAATAATCTAAGATGAGGTCTGATAAAGACTTTTTGTGCCCTCTGTAATACTTTTTGCGCTACCGCTCACAGGATGAGTATGGGGTGCACAATAAACTAGCCGCCTCCGGCGGCAACAAACAAAATCCTCTTCCTATTTTTTCCGGTAATTCCCATTGAACACATTTTGTGTGCAATAACACCGCAGTCACATTTGTTGAGAAGAGGGCGCTCCTGCCTCTCACAACTGCTGGACCACTATCACATCACCTTACATGCATCCAATGGAAGATAAGCAAACGCTGACGTAATATACACAGATTTCGCAAAAGCCTTCGACAAATGTGACAATGGTCACATTAGCGACCATGAGCATAGTGGATATGTGGGCCTGCGGGCCGCTCCAAGTAACAGCCTGGTGGACCAAGTTATCACAAGCCGAGCCTGGCCTCAGGCCGGGCTCGGGGAGTAGAAGAACTCCCGAAACACCCTCCATGTAAGTTCCAGGTAACTTAGGAAAAGGATGATGGAAAGTCACTATTAACCAAAAAAAAGGGTTCATTCGTAAACTTACTAATTCACAAGAAAGTTCCATTGTGTTAACGAAGATGTTAGTTATCAAGGGGTATAGATAAGGGCTCGCGCAGCAGGGTTGTGGCCAGGGCGCTAGTGTGGTCACACTGTGGCCAGGGCGCTAGTGTGGTCACACTGTGGCCAGGGCGCTAGTGTGGTCACACTGTGGCCAGGGCGCTAGTGTGGTCACACTGTGGCCAGGGCGCTAGTGTGGTCACACTGTGGCCAGGGCGCTAGTGTGGTCACTCTGTGGCCAGGGCGCTAGTGTGGTCACACTGTGTCCAGGGCGCTAGTGTGGTCACACTGTGGCCAGGGCGCTAGTGTGGTCACACTGTGTCCAGGGCGCTAGTGTGGTCACACTGTGGCCAGGGCGCTAGTGTGGTCACACTGTGTCCAGGGCGCTAGTGTGGTCACACTGTGGCCAGGGCGCTAGTGTGGTCACACTGTGTCCAGGGCGCTAGTGTGGTCACACTGTGTCCAGGGCGCTAGTGTGGTCACACTGTGGCCAGGGCGCTAGTGTGATCACACTGTGTCCAGGGCGCTAGTGTGGTCACACTGTGGCCAGGGCGCTAGTGTGGTCACACTGTGTCCAGGGCGCTAGTGTGGTCACACTGTGGCCAGGGCGCTAGTGTGGTCACACTGTGGCCAGGGCGCTAGTGTGGTCACACTGTGGCCCTCGTGCTGGGCCACACAGGCTCGTCACCTCCCAACACTTGTCAACTGTGCACCACACTCCCAGTAACAAGGGACACTCATCCCAGCTACAACTGTACACTGGTCTAATAATCAACAACATATAACACAGACAATCAGTGACACCAATTATACACACACCAATAAATCTCATTGAAATCAGACGAGTCACGAGGACACTAATAATACACACTGCACGTCGCTAAGAGACCTGCTTCATGGACATATAACAAGGAAATAATCAAAAGTCAGAGACAGTATAAAATAAATGTCGTAATATCAATGTTGTAACACATAGGAGGCGCATCCAACGTACAGCCCCGCTCCTGTGCCAGGTAAGTCCACTACGGGCACACCATACGCCTTCTGGACTCATATCACATGAGACCAGAAGGCATGGCAGGATGTGCAGAATACCCCCGTTGAAGAGCAGAGGTGCAACAGGTACTCTGAGAGAGAACTCTATCAACATCAGAGGCCCGAGACTGTTCAACACGCTTCCACTACACATAAGGGGCATAACTGGCAGACCCCTCACAGTGTTCAAGAGAGAACTGGATAAGCACCTCCAAAGGGT